AAGTTGGTAATTCATATCCTTCAAGGTGGATGCTTACCTCACACAAGCTAGAATGCGACTACTCCCTTCTCTCAGCGTAGTCCGTTGCACCAATATGTAAAAGAAACCGCGAAAAAAACGTTGATGTTAGCACGTTGAGCGGTGCGTCACTTCTACATTTCCCATCATCAATTTCTGTTTTTTGTTCGCTGATATTTTTTGACTCGTGCGACGGACATTTCTGAAAATTGGAGACTGCTCGTAATGTATACACAAACTCGAAGATAAAGAAAGGAAGAAATATGAAACTTATCAGAGCGGGTCACCCCTGTGCGTTTAACATCATTGTCTGACCGTTACAAAAAGCCTCCAGAACTTTCTTCGTAAAATCCATCGATAGAAATGCCCTCTTTGCTGACAGAATCACTCCACAATCTTTCTAGAATCTCGTTAACTGTATACTTATTAATTGTTAGCAAATTTCAAGCGAATGACTCACGGAGCAATCACGCAATTCACCCAAATATAAGCAGAAATTCTAAGACAGCAGATAATTTATACTTTACAAGAAAATCAAATCTTTTGAACTTTATTGTCGTCTATCTGTTGACAAATGCACAAGTCTTCATCAGGCCCTCGTAAGAAAAACAGTTAGTAAATACTCCCATGCCATAAGGCCCTCATTATTTGCGAAAGCAATCATACGCGCACTTGGGACCTATCGATTACTGACTGATGGCATGGGAGTATTTACTAACTGTTTTCTTGTAATAGCAAAAGGGTTGACGGAAGTGGTCGCGTTAGAGGGGGAGAAGTTAGGAAAAAAGGGTGACCACATACAATACATGCGCAAGGCCTTCTGCCGATGGACTTGTGGGTAGAGAAACTAAAAACTGTTTTTTTAATCTGATGTAATGACATTTACCTTAGGTTGGAGTGTTTATCAAAAATACAGAGACGCAACTAGTGGCAAAGCAATACGACGCAGTGATAATTGGTAACTAACAATTTTTGCTGAGGTTATCTCTATTGACAACATTCGTTTAAAAATATAGTTTAAAAATGCGTCTGTCTTTCCTCATCATTCGTCCCGTTAACTTGATGATGCCATGTTCGGTTAACGAAAATTACGCATGCGTTCCTGATTCCAGTCCCACCGGAGGACTCAAGATAATTTAGCGTGTAACTGATAACGTTACAGAATTTTATACTTGGGGTGGGAGAGGGGGTACACTCGCCTCTTTATGAGAGGTTGGGGAAAGGGGAGGTGCTTTACCTCACCCAGAAGAGAAAGTCGTCCCATATCATTTAAACCTTCCTTAGACTAGAAATACAGGTAAGTGAAGAAGTTCCGCTTCCCCCTTATAAGCGAGATGCACGTCAGACACTCTAACTATCAGCTAGGAAAAGAATGAGTGGTTCGTATCTTACGAATGCATTTCACTCAGTAAGGAAACATTTTAAAGTGACCTCCCATGTAACTGGACTGATCCAGAAATATTTGATATTACAGAATTTAGCAGCCTGGAAGAGATGCAAGAAAAGCTCAGCGAAGGTACAATCGGAAGAGTCCTTGTGGATCGAAACACTGCATTTTACTTCCTCGATGAATCTGGACTAAAAAAGGACAGGCAGATCCGTATGATTCGCAATATCGATTATCCGATGGAATTTTACATGGCGCATGTATACACAGGATCAGTGAACATTACAAACGATTCCGATACAGAAATTGCCAAAAAAAGACAAATAGTGGAATGTGGGTCAAAAATAAAGAAAGATTCCGCAGATTTGCGTGCACAAAGTAACGAGGCCTCAGAGAATCTGATACCCGCAGAACTGCAGGTAGTCTTCTCAAACACTTGTCAAGTTAAAAAAAAATGATCACGAAGCTCAGGAGGTATATTAAGTCTAACGTCGGGTTTTTTGACGCGCGACGATGCAAAAGTTTTTCGTCGCCTGACGGCTTCAATTGACGAGCAGGATTTTGAGGATCCTTTGAGATAGCTCTAGCCAACTGTTGATGAAAGAAAGCTTGCAGAGCTGAACACCTTCTTTCGCAGTTATCTAGATGTCCCACATAGATATTTGACATCTTTCTTTTAATATCCACACATTATCCAGTAAACAAGAAATAAGAATACTCCAACTTATCAGCCGGTAGAAGTTGTTATCTTGCCCTTACCCAAAATTCTCGTACCTAATTTATATGGAAATGGCAGGGGCTGAGTTGCTCTTGTGAACAGATCTCAATCGGTCATGTTTGCAACCTCCAATTTTTCCGCAACAATCCTTGCATTTCTAAGTATACGAAAATTCGTCTAATCTTGATCTAGAAGAGCGAGAGATATAGGACAACTCTAGGAAAGTAAGATACCACCCTTGTGCTTTAAAATTGTTTTAAGGGGATGAATATTCTTCTCTTTAATTTTAATGTATTTTATTCTAGACTGCTGACTTGTTTGATCAAATGGATGGTTTATTCTCAAGTGGCTCAGAAATGACTCGGTTTATTTTATTCAGTCTTCTCGGGATATTCCTTGGACTTGTCATCATCGGGATATTTTGGGAGGGCTTGAATTCCTGTAATCCCACTATTCTAAAAAGGAAAAGTAAGTTCAGCCTCTGTTATTTTGTTTTTATTTAAATTTTCCTTGCTCTACCCCACAACTAAGGTTGACATGCTCACCAAAAACTACGGTGAATAAAGTTCTGAACGAAAGGATTATGAGGATATATCATCAAATTGGGTAAATAATGAAAAGGCAGGCGCATCTTCTCTGAACGAGAACCTGGTACGAGCTAACATATTGAGGTACGATCTTCACGGGCCTAAATCTCGTTTTGTAACCAGGGAGCTTTTCAGTTTTAAAATGGCGAGCTGCAAGCTCTAGGTAGGCAAGGGTAAACTCTCATAACATTAAAAGGATAATTACAAGGTTTCATCAAAACAACCCAAAAGGAACCTAGCTTTGCTCATAATTTTCCATTTTTAGGTTTTTATTCTGTTTCTTCTATGCATATTCAATGAGTCGAGTTCTTTTTTAAATTTCTGAATTCTCGATGAACTGCTCCACCGTGCCCTTTCAAAAATGCGACGAAACACTCTGTTAATTGATGCTTGACAGTGGCCCCTCACCAACCATTAGCTGTATAATCATAATATACCAGGGAAGAGAAAACATTTCAATATCAGATCGTTAAAACTTTCCTGAAATATTGAGGCAGCAATTTCAAATATATCACTTCAATTCTTTCAATCTTGTGGTGAGCAGGAAAAAGTACCACACCCTTGAGGACATTCTTCCATTCTGGTTTTAACCGTCATAAGGGACCAGACATTTATTATCGCCTTAGGAGGATGGGTCAGAGGATCTTGGGGTGAATGGTTTTCAGGGGGACAGAGAGGGGATCAGTCGTTTCTAACGGAGTTTAAATGGGGAACTATAGAAAATTAACTACCAATAAGGCAAAATCATCAGAATACCATGTAGCTTCATGGGGGATCAGGTAAATTGTGACACAATCAAAACCTTTCGGCCTAATTACCCTAACCCCCCTCCCCCTAACTACCCTAATCCCCCTCCCCCAACTACCCTAACTCCCCTTCCCCCCCTAACAACCCTTATCCCCCTCCCCATCCCCAGACTAGGTGATAGACAATGACTGTTCCCAAACAAAATTTGTTTTCGCCATGTGACACATCGACAGATCAATTTTTTTTTTATTATTCAGATCAACACAAGAATGACCAAGGAAGCGAGAAACATCATCCAGGCAACATCAGCAGGAAGAGATTCGTGGTGGAGAATTTTCAGAGTTTTGAAAACAGACTCAGAGAATTATCTAACGACTTGCAAAAGACAAAAGAAGACTTTGCTAAAGCTCTTTTAATCCAGGACAATGATGAACCCCATGAGTTGACCTTTGATTCAGCACTGATGCAATAAGGCCAGAAATTGTGACGTTTGAAGTAATTTTATCTCAATTAAGCTCATTCTTCTGAGCTGAGTGTGTAAATTATAAATAATGACGTCATATAGACATATTCGTTTGCGTGGGAGAATTCATCGTGACGTCATTTTTGACAATCACCTGACGTTTTACATACACATTACAGGCTATTTTCCATTTTGAAAACCCTCACTTTAAAGCTTGAAGTGAGGCAAAATGCAAATGTTTCGTATGAAATAAGTTTCATTTGACATGTATCATTCTTTAATCAAAGGCCTTGAAGCGATCCCTGTTTTGAAACAGAGGCATTTGTTACCTATGAAATGGCTTGATAAAACGAGATTATTGAAGAAAAGGAAAAAAGTCAAATGATAATTGGTCATATTGCAGTTGTTGTTTTAGGTAGGGTAGGTCAAATCAGCGTGGGAGAGAGACAGCTCTTTTGTTCTGTATTTCTTCTCTCTCTAGACGCCGTCCACCTAAATGCAATGGCCAAAAGGTCAGTGAATTCTGGGTCGAGAGATCTGGGCAAGACACTTTGCTCTCACAGTGCCTCTCTTCTCCACCCAGGAGTGTAAATGAGTACCGGGAATTGTCAGGGGAGCCTAATGCAATGCTGAGGGGTAACCTTGTGATAGACTAGCATCCCATTTAAGGGAGGGGGGAGAAGTAATACTCCTTATCGCTTCGTGCTCAAGTGAAACCGGGATAAGTTTCGGCTGGTGGGTCACCAGGTTCCAGTACTTTTTACTTTCTCCCTAATTCCCCTTCCTTCCTTTTTTTTTTCTCTACGTGACAGTTTCATTACAATAAGGTGTACATATATATTGAACTTTGTAGTTTATGACTATCTGATTAACTGGATAAATTAATCCATGAAATTTCAAGCTTTATCGAAAAAGCAAATTTTACTGGGTCTCTAGAAACCTAGTGAGGGAACAATTTCATAAGAATTTATGTAATTGCCTACTTATGTTCAAAAGTATTCTATTGGTGGCAGATAATGTTAGCTCAAGCAAGAATCTCTTCATACAAACTCGAACTTGAAATGCATAGCAGTACCATGACTAGCTCTCTATAATTTGTATTTTTGTGGAGCCAAGGATGGTCAGTTTTAATCTTACACTATAGTAGGGCTGGTATCTTTTCTTGTGTCCCCAACAAAATCAAGGGTTCACTATCGTGATTGATGTCTTGTGCAGTTATCTGTGTGTTGAAAAACCAAAACCAAAGTACTCACAGCAACCGATCAGAACAAATGTTTACAATATCATTAGCCAATAAGAACTCAAAGTAAATACAAGCAAACTGCTTACAGCGTTGGTTTAGAGGATGGTGCAAGTTTTCTTGACCAATCGCATAACAAAGTGAAGTAAAACCAAAGCAATACCGGATTAATTCATCAATTATCAAATTTTATCAACTATAAATTGGTCTCTATATAATCCCTTGAAGTCACTTCAGCGTTTCATAACTTAAAGGATTTTTCCTAAAATGATGGCTTTAAATCGTTATTCGGCCATTGTATTTTTGTTTAAACTAATACATTCCAGTGTATTTTCTAGTTTGCTAGATAATAGCGGAGCTCGCAGCGCGCTGCGAAGCCTCATACCTTTAAGAATGGTTGTGATATAATTGACTGCCATCAAGCAGAGAAAACAATATAGTCAATGCATAGTTTTTAATTTTATTTTGGACAACACGTTTGCTTATTAGAAATAAAATCTGATTCTGTATTATAAACATTTCTCATTCCAATGTTATGATAGAAACTATTCGTAGAAACAGGTCAGCTGATACGTGACATGTTTATTGGCATGCGTGAGCTTTTGATACTATAGACCACACTATAGGTGGCGATGGCAAGAGTACAGTGGACTCTCTATCACCTTCTGTATTATCCGATTTCGCAATAAAAAATTTGAGGACTAAACATCCTTCTTGACACGTTCCCATCAGCTCAAAATTCTCCATCTTTCCTATTATTGAAGCAATGTAAGCCTAAAAACAGAACGAAATCACTGGTCCTGTTGTACGAATATAAGAAACAACCATGAATTATAAAGAGGTTTTTTTGATTCCATCAATGAGTAGAAAGGCAAATTCCTAATCTTAACTTGAAATATATGAGAACACTGCTTTTTATATTTTTATTGAGTAAAATATTAGTTTTACATAAAACAAGTCTTAAAGAAATAAAACACTTAGCGTCTAATTGATAATTTAAATTGCATCCTCCATAATAGTTTTTAAGAACCAAGCATATCGTTAAAATTAGTCTAAAACTTGTAAATATTACGCAATTTAGCTTACCGGCTAAAAAATTGAATGTTGTTAGCTGAATAAATATATATGGCGATCTATCTATCTAAGTATTGTATTTTACTGAAGGAAAATGTTTAATTTACTAGTCCGGGAAGTTTAATTCAAGTTTGGTCCATGGCTCAACCTATTTTTAATTTTGCAAGAAGTTCACCGCAATACCTTTCTGTTCGTCGTCCAGAGGCACACCGGAAGTTAAGATTGCGTCGGTCCCAGCTCCCGCTTTCACGGGTAATAAAATGTCGGAAGATATTAAATGTGTAGTTGTGTTTTATCACAACGAGTGTGTAACTTAAGAGAAAGAAGATATCATACCTTATTTACAATAAATTTATCGTTAGAAATAGCTGGGGATTTTTTTAAGCCACTTTAAGAAAAAGTAGCATAATTTCTAAAATCGAGCATAATTTTGAGCGTAAATTGTGAAAAAAAATCGGTAATCATAATCTATATGCGTTATTAACCAAGTGTGAGGTCAAGATGGCTGGATATTGGCCGAGTTCTTTTCGTAGTTTTATGGACCGAGACGGCCAGGCATCTTGACCGGACAAGTTTGGTTAATGATGAATTGATCATATTGCAAAAATATTTCGCTTTATCAAGAATTCTTGGGTTTCAGGTGACGTCACAAGCTTTGCTGAAGTTAGTATCCGCCATGTTGGTGTCCCTCGGGTGTCAAATTTATGCATAATTAGTCGATTTCTATAGTGAAGCCCTCTCTCTTATCGCCGTATTATTTCGCCAACTACATGAATATCCAGAAAGAAAAAAGCGATAAAAGTATCTGGCATTCATCTTAAGGTATCCCAGTGCTCTCTGAGTATGCCGAAAGCTTAGAGAGTTGGAAGGAAAGATGTTTACAAAAGATCTCGGTCATCGCGGTTGACCCTGCAAGCGTGACAGCCGAGAAGTTCAGTCCAAAATGCTTGCCTCTTGTGGAAGTGTCGGATTTGCTGAGTTACCTCGTTCTTGAGACCAGCTTCTACACCAAGAAGCAGTTCAAGGCGTTCAAGAGTCTAGAGGCGTTTAATCAAATGGTGTCGGGATTTGTAACCTCAGTTGTTGGCAAAGTAATCGCCGGCAAGTATGTCGTGAGAGCACGAGTTTGGCATTCACAGCATATGAATGATCCTTTTGTGAACATTTGGGTCATTTCCGAAAACAATGGGACTATTTTGTCAGCCCATTGCTTTGGATGCAAAGCTGGACTGGCTGAGTCATGCTCACATATCGCGAGTGTTTTATTTTATATTAGAGCAACTACTCGAATTCATGGCAAGCTCGCTGGGTGTCACGAAAACTCAGACACCGAAAACTCAGATCCCTCGAAGTGTTCTCCAAGCTTCCAAAGTGCTCCATAATTCGATAGTGCATAGCATAAAGCATGAAACAATTGTTTTATAACATAACCGGTGGAATAATGCAACAAATCCGACGCGAAAGACGGACAACAATATCAAGAGTTATTCTTCAGTGAAGCGAATCGTGACGGCGCTGATGCCGA